TTCCATTTTCCTAGATTGGTAAATCAAGGGAATGCCATAGACATAACAAAGCATTTGATTAGGCTAGATAGAAGGACAGTTATGTGTTGAATGAATGGACTCAAAGCAAAGGTTATAGGTTGATGTTCTGTAATGGATTGCCCCAGGGATCTGTGTCTCTGCTTTTCGTTTTTTCTTTTGTTTTTGGATGAGGGCAAGGATACTATGCTTATCAAATTTACAGATGACACAGAGATATCGAGGAGGAAAGCTAATACACTGTATGACAGTCAAAATCCAAAGATCTCAAGAGGCGAGAATGCTGATGGTAATCTAATAAGTGAAATTTAATAAAGACAAAAGTAAGATCATAAGTACAGGGTGAATCGGAGGTTTTAGTGAATGATACCTAAAAATGAATGTGAGTTTAGGCTTCGCTGAGACAAGGATATATCCAGAATGAGGGAGATCTGATTGTCTGTTGTATCAGCTTTGTTCAGATCACATTTGGAGTATTGTGCTCAGTTCTAAAGGCCGTGCTTCATAAAGGACATCGACAAACTGGAATGTATTCAGAAGCCAGTGACCAGTATGGGGAGGACACGGAGGCCGTGCCCTGTGAGAAGGAGCTTGGCATGGTTCGCCTGGAGAAGAGAGGAGATCTTGGGGAGGGGGAGGGCGGTGGGGAAGAGGAGGAGCGAACGCGGTTTTCAGATACTTGGAGATATGATAAGGGAAGACAATCAGACTGGCTTTTCCTGGCAGAACCAGGATCATTGAGTTGAGACTACAAAGGCAGAGATTTAGCCTGACCTAAAGAGAACCTTTTTGATAAATTGCTTTTTAGTATTTTTATTTATTTTAAAATTATTTTACTTTCTAAATTAGCAGTCATTAATTTCCTGTCTTCCAATGCCCCTGTTAAAAACTGCAATTTAAAACTTTGTAACAAACATCCATAATTAAACCAAATATTCTTAATGGATGTCTTATTGTACACCTTATGTCCCTCACCTCTCTGTTGGAGGATAACATTCTTCATCGTTGGTTCTCTGGAATTGTGAATGGTCATTGAGTTGATCAAAGTTATTTCTAATTGCTCAGTTACTTCTCATTCCTTGATTCTGTCCCTCATGGCACTGTCTTCGTCATGGAAACATTTGATGAATTACCTGGCTCTAAAACCATCAGGAGCTACACAGTGTCTGCTCAGATGATCAATAACATACTTAAGTTGGCATTCAATGCCCTGCCCAATTCATTTCTTTTTTTTAAATTTTATTAATTCATTTTGATTTATCAACAATCACTTCCATATGCTTTTGGATTGAAAATTTTTCTCCCTCTTCCTCCCCCCCACCCTCCACAAAACAGTGCACAATCTGATATAGGCTTTACATTTACATACCCATGAAACATATTTTCACATTAGTGAAGTTGTAAGCAAAAATTGAAACCAATAGGAGGAACCATCAGAAAGATGAAACAAAACTCAACAGAAGGTAAAAATAACTGATAGCGATTCAACTTCCATAGTTCTTTCTTTGGATGTGGACAGCATTTTCCATCTGGAGCCCTCTGGAGATGTCTTAGATCCTTTTAATGCTGAGAAGGGTTCAGTTTAACAATATTAGTCATCACATAACGTGGCTGTTATTGTGTACAAAGTCCTCTTGGATCTATTCACTTCACTCTGTATCAGTTCATATAAGTCTTTCCAGGTTTTTCTGAAGTCAGCCTATTCATCATTTCTTACAGCACAATAGTATTCCATTACATTCATATACCACAACTTGCTCAGCCATTCCCCAATTGATGCTGCCCAATTCATTTCACAACACTTAAGGACACTTCTAGACAAATGACTCTGAGAAAGAGGCTTTCTGATCTTGTCTTGTCCTCTCTTGCCTCTGCATCCTTCCAGTCCTGAAATTCATTCCCTTAGAAAGTACCTGTTGAAATTCTCCTTTGCCCTCAAGGGCCAGCTCAGTCAGGTACAACCCTTGTATTAGGTCTTTTGATCTGCCCAGCTTCAGGGAATCCTTGCCTCCTTGCTCAATGCTCTTCACTAATTTGTGGCTTAATTAACATTCATATTCATGTTATAATTATTTGTATTCATGGCTCATCCCTGTCTGATTTTGAAAGTTCTTTAAGGATAGAGGCTGCCATTTTTCACCTTCATTACCGGAGGCACCAGACATTGGATTGAAATGAATGGATTGCACCCTCAGGGTGAGCCAAAAGCAGTAAGTGCCACCTTAGCTTGTGGTCATGGAGGGTTCCCTCCTCAATGAGAGAGGAGCTCCTTCCCCTCTGTGCTGCCTGCCTCACTCTGACCACATCTGGGTTCTCTTACTAGGTTCTGTGCATTACATTTTTAGAAGGACATGAATATACTAGAGTATGTCCAGAAGGAGGTGATCAGTCAAGATGGTAGAAGGACTTAAAACCATGGTTTAATTGAGTACGAGGTGAAGGAATTAGGAAGAAGACTTATAGGGGACATAGTTGTAGGTGTCTAATCTTTGGAAAATATTCATTCACATTAGAGGGGGGAGTCAATTTATTCTTGGCTCCAGAGGTTAGAGCTTTAGGACAAACGTGTAGAAGCTATAGGAGGCTGGGTGGGCTGCAAATTTTTGCCTCTGAATAATCGTTTTCTGTGATCTCTAACGATATCAACATTGTTGCCCGTCAATCTGGAGAAGCAACAGAGTATTCATTGGGCAATCAGTGCTTCAAATGGGAGTTAGGTCAGTTGACATTGAAGACCCTTCTAACTGTGATTTTATGATTCATTTGCCTTAGTGATTTAAAAAAACAACAACTAAGTTTCTGTTTCTTTTGTGAGATTTTACAGTGAATCCAATACCCACCAAGGCATTTGTTACATTTTTTATTTGAAAAGTTGAAATGTCTATATTTGAAAATTTAGGCAAACATGGGTGGAAAGTAGGAAAGAAAACTTATTTTCTGCTGCCATAATGCTGAAGAGAACGGAGGAGGGATGAAAAAGAAACTAGGAGTAGGTAATGTCCATTGTTTACTTCAGGGAACAAATACCCCTGAACTTTACCTACCTGAGCATACCATATTCATCTAGATGCCATCCTTAATTAGGCTTAATGGATTTCAACTTTAGAATAATTCGCAAACCCTTCCATTGCATCTACTCAGCTGTTTAAATTACCTGGCTTATTAGGCCTTCCCGTTATCTCCAGTGAAATTCATATTTTGATGGATTATATTGCTCATTGCTTATTATTGCAGAAATTTGAAAGAAATCTCATTTATATGTCAGAAAAGATAGGAGTTTGAATTTATGAATGGTAATTTTATTTCAAAGGAAAATGAATTTCCTTTTATGTACTATAAAATGTATTTTATCTGAGATTTGATAATAAAGCAATGAGGCTGATGACTGGCTTGCAGAATTAGTCTCATTATTTTATAGCCTAGTTCGGGCGAGGGTTTGCATATGTGTGGACCTGGGGTCTCCATGCTTGTATATACCCTCTACCACTGTCATTTTCAGCTCATCTAGGCCACCTCATCCTGGGCAATTCTAATTTCAGTTTTGTGTCTTTTTAAATCTCCCATGTCACGTATCAACTCAAGTATCCCAAGTAACAGAAAGGGTTCCTAATGACTTAAAATATTTTACCAAAGCATTTGTGTGCCCAAGTATATGAAATGAGGGATTAAAGTGGAAGGTTAATATATATTCTTTTAATTAGAGATATAAAGCAAACCAGGCTGTTGGTTCCCAACAATAGTTCTCTTGGCAGTCCTGTTGAAAAGTGAGAGGATGATTTTTAAACTGTAGAAAATAAATGAGATGACTTCCTCCTGTAAGCACTGACTCCATCTTTCCCCCAAAGCCTTTATTTAAAATCAGATAAGACTTAGATAAATACACATATTCAAAAAAAAATCTCATTTCACCACAAATTTGAGAATTGACCCATAGGAGTTAGAGAAGACAAAATATTGGAGGTTTTTTGGACATAGAATCTCAGGGATGTGCAGAGAAGGGATTAGATGTTTATCCTGAGGAGTGTTATTTGGTGCTGCCCCAAGGGTAAGAGTCATTGCTTCCCATCTCTTCATGTCTTCATGTAGTCCTCAACTTATTTTAGTATATGCTTTGTACTTGGGAAGTGTGTGTATATAATATATGCACATAATGATGTATGCATGATTATGTATCTATCATAAACTGATCTGCTAGTCTGTTGTGTCTTGTTCTAAGTGATCCCATGTTGGCTCCTAATGATCACCTCCCATTCTGAGTGTTCATAAACCATCCCCTTGATTCATTTCTAAATAGCTGACCAGATCAATGTGGTATATTTCAGTGAAGCAGCAGGACATCTGGGTTTGACACTTTTTGTAGCCATGGGCAGGTCATATCACCTGTCTGAGCCTCAATTTCTTCATCTCTGAATATAATAAAAAAAAATGTGAAGATATAATTATACAATTATATATAATAATGCAATTGTACAGTAATTTAGATTATGTACAATAATACCTGCATTGTCTCCCTCAGTCTTGTTGTGGTGCAAGGGCTTTGTAAACAATATAAATGTTCATATATATATATATATATATATATATATATATATATATATATACACAATATAAATGTTCATATACATATATTATATATAATGTATATTTATTTATACACACACATATAATATGCACAAATTTTACAGCTCATGAACAAGCATTTGTTAAGACCTTACTATGTACAAGGCACTGTGCTAAGCCTTGAGGATACAAAAAAAGACAAAAGCGTGGCCCTGCCCTCCAGGAGCTTCTGTTCTGATGGAGGGGGGAACAGTATGCACACAACCCTGTCTATACAAGATATGTAATCTGGTCAGAATGATTTACTTCCTAGTAGTTAGTTACATACTTGGGAAGTCAGTGAAACTTTGTTTTTCAGTTTGCTCTTGTGGCACTTGGTAAGTGGGGAGTGTAATAATTCAGTCACCCTTTTCTTTTGGCAGGTGTGGGGATTCCAAAACTAAAGAACGGGCTGCTTGTAAAGGAAGGATTGCGCTATCAGGTATGTGATGCTTGGGAATGCCCCACTGCTTTCCCGCTCAGCTTGCCGAGGTTTTACAGGGTCACACTCCTGAGCCTAGTCCTCTGAGTCAGCTGTCCAGGCCTATCTTTTCAGCCCTGCTCTCCGTTCCTGTACACGTGAACGTCTGGTTTTGTCCACTGCTTGGCTCATTGCTAATTCTCTCGTTTGTACGGTCCACCTGCCCTCTTTGCCAAGTCACAGAATCATAGGCAGACTTGGAAGGAATCATTTAGTCAAACCTCCTACGCAAGTCATGGATCCTGTTCATGTTGTCTTCCCAGAGTCCCCCAAACTCTGCCTGAAGACCTCCAGGGGTCCTAATAATTGCTAGCATGTAGATGGCGCATTAGGGTTTGCAAAGTGTTTTACAAATAATATTGCATTTAATCCTCACAGCAGCCCTGCAAGGTAGATGCTATTAATATCCCCATTTTGCAGAGGAGAAAATTGAGGCTCAGTGACTGGGCTAGAGTCTCATAGCTGGGAAGTGTGTGAGGCAGAATTTGGGCTCAGATATTCCTGTTATGAGCCTGTTGCACCACCTTGCAGCCCAGAGATAGAAAATTCTTTATCCTGAATTGTAGCCTTTTATATTTCAGGACAAGTGTGTTTTTTCTACTTAGATGCCTCATTGTGCCTCGTGGTAGCATGGAAGTGTGACCCTCATCCTAGCCAGGGGAGTGCCAACTCCAGCAGGTACTAACATCTGTCAGAAAGACTTGAAAGGTGATCCCAGCAGCAGACTCCATCTTGTTTTTGAGGACCAACCTAGCTAAGTTCAAAGACACTCTTCCCAATTAGTGTGGCCACTTGGTGATGAATTGTTGGGCCCAATGACCATAAAGAAACATTTTAAATGGCTCTGTGTAGCCACACCCCTCCCCTCCTCCACTTTTGGGAGCAGAGCAAAATAAGTCACCATTTTTGGACCATCCCTAAATGAGAGATCCTTATCAGTGACCAACCATTGGACTTATTTCCAGAGGAAGTGAGTCATATAAATCTTGACCTTTTCACTTGACGTGAAACCAGTTCACAATTGCCATTCAGTGCACAAGTGACTCACAGGTTTCTCTTGAAGAGGCAAATAAAGGAGTTGGTTTTATTGTATGGATAAGCACATAAAGAAACATAACTTCTTGAGACATTTGTTCATCTTCTGTTACAGTGCATGTGATGAGCATTTGCCGTTGACCAAGACCATTTTGAAAATAATTGTCAATTATGCACTGACATTTGGTTCAGAGAATGAACTTAACAAGACCCTACTAATTAGATCAACATCATTGGAAAAACTGGAAAGCAGTGTGGCAGAAACTGTGCATAGACCAATATGTTTATACCATTTACCATGATGAAGTCAAAAGGGGTATATGACCTAAATTTAAAGAGAGATATTACAGGAAAATTAGAAGAACATGGAATATATTACTTATCAGACTTATGAATAGGCAAATAATTTATGAATAAACAAGAGACAGAGAGAGCAAAGTTAGGTGTAAAGTAGGATAATTTTGCATTACATAAAGGAGTTTTTGTACAAATAAAACAAATGTAGCTGGGATCAGAAGGAAAGCAGAAAACTGGGGAAAATTTTTATATAGTTTCTCAGAGGTCTCATCTCATATGTAAAGAACTTTGTCAAATCTATAAAAATATGTGTCATTCCCCAATTGGTGAATGGTCAAAGGATATGAACAGGCAGTTTTCCAGTGAAGAAATTAGAACAATTTATAGTCATATGAAAAAACACTCTAAATCATTATTGACTGGAAAATTCAAAGTGAAACAACCTTGAGGTATCATTTTAAACCTACCAGAATGACTAAAATGATTGAAGGGAAAAGCAACAAATGTTAGAGGGGATATGGAAAAATTGAGACACTGATTCTTTGTTGGTAAAATTGTGAACTGATCCAACCATTTTGGAGAGGAGTCTGGAATTATGCCCAAAGAGTTATTTATTAACCTTTTGACCCAGAAATACCACTTCTAGGTGTACTTCCAAAGATGATTAGGGAAAAAGGAAAAGAACTTAAATGTTCTAAAATGTTTATAGCAGCTCTCTTTGTGGTGGCAAAGAACTGGAAATCGCAGAGATGCCCATCAGTTGGGGAACAGCTGACCAAGTTGTGGTATATAGAATACTACTGTGATACAAGAAATGATGAGCTCAGTGATCTTAAAAAAACATGGGAAGGATTTGCATGAAATAAGGAAGAGGAGAATCAAAAGAATGTTGTATAGAATAACAGCAATATTGTAAGAATGACTTTGAGCGAATAAGTCATTTTGACTATTATAAATGCCCAAATTAACACAAAAGACATGTGAAGAAAGACACCATCTGCATCCAGAGTAAGAACTGATAACTAGGAGTATGTATAGAGTAATTTTACACATATATACATATATGTGTGTGTATACACACACACACACACACACACACACACACACCCCTATTTGTGTCTAATAGGCAATGTGGTGAGGGGGAAGAAAAAAGAAAAAAATTTACATTTACATGATAACTTTTATATATTTGAAAAGAATAGCAACTTGTACGTAATAGATCTGCAGTGTAAACCATCTTTTATACTGTGTTATAGAAATGCTTGTTTTATTCCATAAATTAAAAACAAAATAAATTTAAAAAATAACTTCAGTGCATGCTTTCATGACTTTAGTGCAGAAGTATGCATGGGGAAAGGATGGCCCCAAATATGTTAGAAATCATGGTTCAGGAGTAAGAAATGAGAAAGGCCAAAGGCTTGTAGACTATACCAATGCCTCTTACTTTCATATCTTGAATACTGGCTTTGAGAGTGACCCAGCAGGCATTTCATTTGTTAGGCACCTACTGCATATCCATGCACCCATGCTGGGGCTGATGATACTAGGACCACAGTGGTACAGTTCATGCCCTGGAGCTATTTACACCATCTGGGGAAGACAACACAAGCAGAGGAGTATATAAAATAGGGACAGGATAATTCTGGGAAGAAGGCACTGGTACCTGGGGGCATCAGGAAGGGCTACAGTGGTACCATTGCTGAGCCTAGAAGGAAACAAGGCAGAGGTGAGGAAAAAGAGCATTCCAGGCAGAGGTAGCACCCTCACAGAGGGTACAAGGAACAGTAAGACCCCCAATTTGGCTTTATTATAATGTATATGGAAGTAATGTTTAGTAAAAGTGGAATGGTGGATTGGGCCAAGTCTTGAAGAGCTTCAAATGCCAAACCCAGAACTTTATATTTAAACCTGGAAGTTGTAGGAAGCCCCTGGAGTTAATTGAGTGGGACAGTGACATGGCCAGGCTGCAATTTAGGAGAATCGGTGTGCAAGATGGACTGAAGTAGGGGCAGACTTACAGCGTTTGAGAGAATAATTACAAGTATTTGCACTCAATAGTGCAGATGAAAAATAATGAGGACCTGGACTAGCATGGAGATTATTTGAGTGGAGAATAGGGGATAAGGTGAACTGTGTTGTGGAGGTAGAAGTAGTAGGATTCAGCAGCTGCTTGATGTGTGGGATATGCAAGAAGGAGAAGTCAGGCATATATGGGATCATGAACTTGGGTGACTAGACAGATGGTGGTGCCCTAGACGGAAATAAGGAAGTAGAAGAAAGGTGGGTTTGGGGGGGAAATTAGTTCAGTTTTAGATGTTGAGTTCAAGAAGTCTGTGGGAGGTAGTTTAATTTTTATGCTTCTAATAGGCAACTGAATATGTGAAAATAGAGCTTTACAAATAACCTAGGACTATATTTGTAGACCTGGAGGTTATCTGCTTAGACTTGGTAATTAGAACCTATGTGAGCTGATAGGGGGGAGAGAGAGAACCTAGGACAGAATCTTGGGGAGAGGGCTCCCCCTACAGTTAAAAGATGTGATATGGATGAACTAGCAAAGAAGGCTGAGAAGGAGCAGTCAAACAGGTAGGAGAATCTAGACAAAACCGTGTCATGAAAATTCAGTGTAGAGTATTCAAAAGGAGAGAGTGGTCTACACTAGCTGATGTGGCAGAGGATTAAGAAGGATAAGAAAGAAAGGCCATCACATTTAGCAATTCAGAGATCACTGAAAACTTTGGAGAAAGAAGGTTCTTAAGAAAAGAGGATTCATAGAACCAGGCAAACACTAAATAAAATCACATTTTAGCAGATGAACATGACTGGTTCAGTTTGATTCAGATTCCTGAATTTTCTACATATAGTAAGATCCCCACCTTCTAACGGCAAAGGTCAAAATCAATACCAAAATAGATGAAAGAATGCAAAGTAAGGTGACATAGCCTATATTTGAGGTATCACCTTCCCGACCTATTTAAACAAGCTGTTAACTTCACATAATGAGAAACGGATAAAAGAATAGACTTTGACACAGACTATAACCATTTCCAAAGGAAGTTTAATCAATGTAAGTAACTTACCACAATGAACAGACTAAAAGAGCCTAATATGCTTTTGAGTTGAAAATTTTTCTCCCTTTTCCTACCCCCTACCCTCCCCAAGACGGCGCACAATCTGACATAGGCTTTACATTTACATACCCACTAAACATATTTTCACATTAGTGAAGTTGTAAGTAAAAATTAAAACCAGTAGGAGGAACCATCAGAAAGATGAAACAAAATTCAACAGAAGGTAAAAATAAGTGATAGCGATTCGACTTCCATAGTTCTTTCTTTGGATGTGGATGGCATTTTCCATCCCGAGGCCTCTGGAGATATCTTAGATCCTCGTAATGCTGAGAAGGGTTCAGTTTAACATTCTTAGTCATTGCATAACATGGCTGTTATTTTGTACAAAGTCCTCTTGGTTCTGCTCACTTCACTCAGCATCAGACCATATAAGTCTTTCCAGGTTTTTCTGAAGTCAGAATGTTCATCATTTCTTATAGCACAATAGTATTCCATTACATTCATATACCACAACTTGCTCAGCCATTCCCCAATTGATGGGCATCCTCTCAATTTCCA